TATTTATGTATTATTGTCATTTTGTTTATTTTCTTTGGTTGCATCTTCTGACATCGGACTCGGACTTCTCTTGGGCTGAGTTTTAGTGTGCGTATTGTTATGCGTTTACTTTTCTACATTGGCTAGAGGTATAGGGGGAGGGTTGAGATCTCATAAACATGTTTAACCCCGCTGCATTTTTGCGCCTGTCCCAAGTCAGGAGCCTCTTAAGCCTTTGTTAGTCTTGTATTATTTTTGATTTTAGTTTCTTGTGTACAAATTGGAGTTTAATATGGCGTTCATTATCACTGAACTAGTATATATATTTGTTTAGGGGCCAGCTGAAGGACGCCTCCGGGTGCGGGAATTTCCCGCTGCATTGAAGACCTGTTGGTGACCTTCTGCTGTTCTCTGTTCTATAGTCGGGTTGTTGTCTCTTTGACACATTCCCCATTTCCATTCTCAATTTGATTTAGTTTTCTATAATGTGTTTTGTAGACTGTTGCTTGTCTTCTGGTCCTTTTTTTTCAATTTTTGCCATGGCACTGTCAGTTCCTGTTCGACTTATTAGTTTAAATATTCCTAAGGTATCTTTTGCCTGTACATTAAAACAGGAAACAAAACTGCCTACTAGCTATAAAGGATGATAAAAATTCATTATCTGTAGTAATATTACTTTAAAGAGATGATTAAACCCACACACAAAAAAAAAATCTAAATATCTAATCAATATCGAATATGATTTCATTTCTTATTCACACATGACTGCTTTTTCTTAAATAATGCCTCCCAAAAGTATTTTGTTTTTGCTGTACACAATAAAAATTATTGCCATCGTTTTAAAATATCATCTATAATTGAAGCACTGATTTTACAAATATCAATTAATCATTGTTTTTTGTCTTGTGGGTATTTTCATACGAAAGATTAACTGCGCTTGGAGAAAAACAATAAGATAAAGATAATTTTTGTTGTTGACTTTAGTCAAGATTATAATTCATTTCCACCTACTAAAGTCACGTCAATACACATTCTACAATTACATTTAGTGGGAAATGACATTTCTCCATTTAATCTATTGATTGATTGCTGTTTGCTTAGAAATCAGTGGCAAATATCTCATGCATATTCAGGATGAAAATAAAATTAACAATACATCTGATGGTTAATAAAATATGAAAACAATCTAAAATTTCTTGTGTCCAAAGTGCTTTTCTTGATTCACCTTCATTCCATCAGGAACACTCAAAACTGAATATTTAAAAGCCAAGGATGTATATTAAGGATGTGGTCAGATGAAATTAAAAAAATCTAGAATTTAAAATTGATACTATAAGTCAGAAGAGCATTGGTTAAGGAACAAATAAAATAAGCTAAAAATAATGATAGGTTGTGGAATTCCTTTTCGAGATATTTGATTTTAAAAAAATGGCGGGAAAAGGCTGACTCGGACTTTACCTTATAATTTAGCATTGGCATTTTTTGGGTCTCAAATCACAAGAAAAGAAATCTAGAATCTGCTTAAATTTTGGTAACTATCTTTTATGAGCTATTGAAGTCTTCTATGAAAAAAATGGTGGGTGATATGGGGCAAAATATTTTACCCTTTATCGTAGGAAAAACCCATGGAGTCCGAACATCTGACAAAAATTTCTAAACCTGACATGACTACATCCTTAACCAAAATAGTTGAAGAGCTATTATGACCATATAAGACCTTTAAATAATAGCCAAATCCATATATAAAGGTGAACTTTGCTTCAGGGAGTTGAACCTTAATTTCTTAAATATTTATAAATTTATAAACAGACAATTTAAGAAAAGTTTGTTATAAATCATGTCAGTACCAAAGTATGTAGGTTGACCAGTATGAAGGGAAGGAATGTTGACTGTCAGGTTGACCCGTATGAAGGGAAAGAATGTTGACTGTCAGTCAGGTTGACCAGTATGAAGGGAAGGAATGTTGACTGTCAGGTTGACCAGTATGAAGGGAAGGAATGTTGACTGTCAGTCAGGTTGACCAGTATGAAGGGAAGGAATGTTGACTGTCAGGTTGACCAGTATGAAGGGAAGGAATGTTGACTGTCAGTCAGGTTGACCAGTATGAAGGGAAGGAATGTTGATTGTCAATCAGGAAAATGAGGGTTTCTCCATTTTCACTTATGACAAAATGTATGAATAAAAGTGTTAAAATACAATGTTGGGTAAACAGTAACAAAATACATTGGATAAAAAAAGCAACCCAACAACATGATTAAACAACATGATTAAAGTCAAAACCTCTAGTGTGCAACATACAGTCTTTATCATGTTAATAGATAACTGTCTATACCTAATATGTGCTAGATAAAATGTATGTCTGTATCTAACATGTGCTAGATAAAATTGTGTGTCTGTAACTAACATGTGCTAGATAAAATTGTATGTCTGTAACTAACATGTGCTAAATAAAAATGTGTCTGTAACTACCATGTGCTAACATGTGCTACCGGTAGATAAAATGTATGTCTGTAACTAACATGTTACAAAAAAAATGTATGTCTGTAAATAACATGTGCTAGATAAAATTGTGTGTCTGTAACTAACATGTGCTAGATAAAATTGTATGTCTATAACTAACATGTGCTAGATAAAACTGTATGTCTATAACTAACATGTGATAGATAAAATTGTATGTCTATGACTAACATGTGCTAGATAAAATTGTGTGTCTGTAACTAACATGTGCTAGATAAAATTGTATGTCTATAACTAACATGTGCTAGATAAAAAGTATGTCTGTAACTAACATGTGCTAGATAAAATTGTGTGTCTGTAACTAACATGTGCTAGATAAATTGTGTGTCTGTAACTAATATGTGCTAGATAAAATTGTCTATAACTAACATGTGCTAGATAAAATGTATATCTGTAAATAACATGTGCTATATAAAATTGTTTGTCAGTAACTACCATGTGCTAGATAAAATGTATGTCTGTAACTAACATGTGCTAGATAAAATTGTGTGTCTATAACTAACATGTGCTAGATCAAATGTATGTCTGTAACTAACATGTGCTTGATAAAATTGTGTGTCTGTAACTACCATGTGCTAGATAAAATTGTGTGTCTGTAACTTACATGTGCTAGATAAAAAGTATGTCTGTAACTAACATGTGCTAGATACAATTGTGTGTCTGTAATTAACATGTGTTAGATAAAATATATGTCTATAACTAACATGTGCTAGATAAATATGTATGTCTATAACTAACATATGCTAGATAAAATTGTGTCTATAACATGTGCTAGATAAAGTTGCATGTCTGTAACTAACATGTGCTAGATAAAATTGTATGTTTATAACTAACATGTGCTAGATAAAATTGTATGTCTTTAACTAACATGTGCTAGATAAATTGTAGGTCTGCTAATAACATGTCTAAGATAAAAAAATCTCTAGTAATGAAGCCAAATCATGGTTGAAAATTATCTAATCTCCAGTTGTGACTCAGGACTATCCTGCCAAATGTGTAGAATGCACTCAAATAATACATGTTGTATAGCTGAAAATATTTAACAAGAGACAGATCTATGCCTGTATCTCTCACCTGGTGAAAACATTGCCAGTTTGCTTCATAAGGACTTCTATATGTACGTACTATAGTTAATCTTTGTGCCGTCGATCATTTTTGCAATTTACATGTTTAACCTAGCTCCTATAGGTTTCTAGCTAACATCCAATACTTCAAATAACAGTAAATATTTCAGGGGGAATATATATTACTCCAAAACAGGTTGTCAAAAGTTGGTAAAAGTCTAAAATGGCCATGTTGCAAAATTTGTGACCAAATTTTGCTGAAAATGACTATATTCAAATATCTGGAATAGTGAGAATAATTAAATCTATTTGCAATGAACCACAAAGATTTTTGTTCTAACAAATCTGAGTCTCATTATTTTCTTTTTGCCTTCTTTTTTCATTTTGATTTAAAAAAAATTCAAAAGATGAACAATAAAATGCTTCCCCAAGAGCAGTCTGATACGACACAGAGGTCGGACCCTGAACAGTTGGGGCAAGTTGGGGCAAGTTCCCCCCCCCCTCCTCAAAAATTTTTTTTTTTTTATTTTTTAAAAACATTTGAAATTTTGAAAAATCAAAGTATGGCCCCCCAAAAATATTTTTTTTTCAAAAAATTTGAAATTTCAAAAATTTTGAAGAATAAAATATGAACCCAATTTCAGAGAGATCCATAGATTTAAACACAAGTTATAGTCTGGAAACTAGAAAAATGCTTGTTTTTGGCCCCTTTTTTGCCCCTAATTCCTGAACGTTTGGGGCAATTACCCCCAAACTCAATCCCAGCCTTCCCTTTATGATATGGAACCTTGTGGTACAATTTCAGAGAGATCCATACACTTACACACAAGTTATTGTCCGGAAACTACAAAAATGCTTGTTTTTGGCCCTTTTTTTGGCCCCTAATTCCTAAACAGTTGGTACCAAAATCAATCCCAACCTTCCTTTTGTGGTATTGAACCTTCTGGTAAAATTTCATAGAGAGATCCATTCACTTAAACTAAAGTTATTGTCCTGAAACCAAATGTGTCTTCGGAGGACGACACCGCCGCCGCCAAAAACATGATAGCATTATACGAAAGCAAATTTTTTGCAGTCATATAAAAAAATATACTGTACATATTTTCCAACTGACCTAAGACATCTAATGGCAAATACGGATACTACAGATTCATGATATTTTGTGAGGTACTTCAACAGTTTTCACTGCTTTTATTCCATACAGTATCAGTTCTACTTATTGTTGAAGGTCTAACTATGACACTCTATTTGTTTACATCCTCGTCCATTGATCCCTGATGGATAGTTGTCTGATTGGCAATCATATCACATCACCTTATTTCCATATTTCATTAATATAACAAGTGTTCATGAAAACACAGATTTCCTATATTATACACATAAACATGTTCAAGCCAAGAATAAAGATAATATTAGAAATACAAAATATTAAATACTCACAAGGTTTTAGAACTTTTCTCTCCTTTATTTTAGTAAATTCAGGCTGAACTTCAGTAACTTTAGCACTATTGGCAGAATGAGCTTCCTTGGACACGGATGTGACCTCTGACCCTGTATTGTCGTCTGCTTTGGGTGATGACGTGCTTTTCAACACTTCTTCATCATTATTTACTGAACCTAAAATAAAATGAGACCTTTCAAATTCCACTGAAGATATTGATTCAAGGAAAAAATTCCCAATCACATAGAGATCAGTCGTTAATTAAGTTCTAATATAGTAAAACAGTTCAAAAACCGAAACTGAACTTCTTATAAAGTACATCAATTTAATTTGTTCAATAAATGTAAAACATCAGTAGTTAATACACATTCTTTTTTTCCTAAAAATGTCAGTTCATAAATTCTTACGATTTTACAAGCATATTACATATTGATAAACTAATGAACTGAGATCACTTCATGTAAACAGATCGACAGCATCATCTATAATTGTCATATCTGATATTTCAAAGTTAAAACAGTCATTCAAACTTCATTAAAATCTACATTTCAATACGACAAGTTAAGACCCTGATACATGGTAATACAATTTGCATGATCCTAGTTTTAACGAGTTTTTTTAATTGTGCATGATGTTCACGCTGTAAAGTATATTATGCAGTGAACAGGGCAATTGTGCATCTATGTTGAAAACGTAATGCTTCTTCTAGCATGACAAATCTTCTTTTTTCTCCTTAAAATGCACCAAAATGACAGATGCTTTCAGAATCAAGTTTTTCTAAATAATGTACTCAGAGAATTGGTATACCTATGAAAATGGAGATTTCAGAATCAAGTTTTTCTTTATAAAGTACTCAGGGGATCGGTATACCTGTGGAAATGGGACTGTTCAGATTCTGATTTTCTGTAGAAAGAAATCAAATGATTCAGTATTTTCAATACAATTTAAGGAGGGGTAAAGGGGGGGTATCTGCACGGAAGAACGCAAAATCAAATTGCCATTTCACGATGAACAAACAATTAAAAATTTCTTGCACGTTGATCTTTTTACCGATTTCACGAAACACGGTGAATAACGAACCTTTTTCACGGCTGCATGTGAAATAAAAATGGCAAAACATGTTGCACGAAAATAACCCTTTTTAAGGACTTTTGTATTGTAATGTACTCAAAATAGGCAAGGACATGACAAAATGTGACACAATTCAAACGAGGAAACCTAAACAGTCAGGTTTATGCTCAAACAATAAATGGAAAACAAAATATATCAGTCAGCAACAAAGGATATCAACTGAACAATACTGTACCCTTGCAGAAATAAATCCTGACAACTTTTATAATCAGGATATCTCAAGATTATCCTGGGAAATCCTGAAAATATCCTGTTAGGCATTAAGCCCTGTTTTTAGGAAAAAACTTAATGGGAGAATTCCAGGAAATGTCAGGACTTTCAAATCAAGCATCTTTAAACAAGGGGAATTCTCAGGATATCTCAAGACTTTCAAAAATCATATTATATAAACCAGGATATATCAGGACTTTTCCATCAACATTCATCCTACTTTCAGGACATTTACAAATTCTATCTGAATGAAAAAAAAAACAAATAAAGTCCTTGATGATTCCTGGTATTGGGACTTAAGAAAAAATATAATCTGTATTACAAATTCAACTAAATAAAAAAGAAAATCTTTGGGACTGAAATTAACTGTTGATTGTTAAAATAAATATTCACATGAAGATAGCATTTTCTAGCCAGGATTTGAAAAGGGAAGGGTGCTAGTCAGAAAAAGGGCAATTATTTAAGCCTCATGATTAATTAGCATACATTGTATACATTGTATAACCAAGGCTCTAAGGCTTAGAATTAATCAAGAAGAGGAGTAATAAAGTTCAATACTTTTGGCTAAATTTAATATGATTGACTTTCAAATCTCAGGTCATTAATTAAAATTAGTAGCAGTTTAAATGGTAAAGTTTTTTTCCAAACTCAGAGAAATTTGAATTATTAGTACATTGCACTTGATAGATCAATTAATGAAAGTAAAGATGAAAAAAATAATTTTCAAAATATATATTTTTTAAATGTTTTCAGGTTTAAAATACTTAAAAGTAATATTCTGATAGGCATTTGTATTCAATTTGTTTTATATTTATTTTTTTTACGAAAAAGAACATAAATTTAAGGAATATATTGTGAAAGGTGATAAAAAAGGGGGAAGTAACTCAAATTATTTTGTCAAACATTTTTGAAATACACAAATTATTTATGACATAAAGCAAAGGTTATTGGTGTTAATTAAAAATGTGTTTGACACCAAAGCAGTCAGGTGCACTTAATGGGTCACTTAATTTGACAGTTAAAGGTTTACACAGCTAGCTGAACTTCCTGTTCATGGAAGCATTACGAGTTTCAGTTTGACAGTATTTCAAAGTCAGAAAAATGCAGAGATTTTTGCTATAAAAATGGCAGGGTGTCCAAGAAACGCCCCAGCTTGTCTGACATAATAGGTGTTGGACATTATGCAGAGTAATTTCGGAATAAGCCTAAGCAGGCTAAGTTCATGACAACTGCACAATTTACATAAATGACTTAAATTTCACATCAATAATAAATCGCATTCCGAACTATTTTGGAAGTCTTGAAACACATATATTTTTGTCATTGCCAGATATGTTTAACAATTTCTCATTAACAGACTGCTTGCCGAGTTGTTTGGTTTTATTTACATTGCCAGTGCCAGTGGTACACTGGTACGCTGCAAGAAGTCTATCTTGACTCTTCCTTTCCCCAAAGTATTAAAGATGTAAATTCTGATTTTCTCCAAGTTCACATATGTGCCTTTCTATTAATTGTCGTCCGGCATATAAATAACTTAGAAAATTATCAGATCAATGATAGGCCAACGACAGACATCGTAACACGCTGGTTTCTCAACGTAAGAAAATGTAAACAAGTCATGACCATGTGGTTTTTTGTAATTGTACAGAACAGCTCGACCCTAAAATATACCGTCTTAGATAATGCGGCCACTAGTTCATCCGCATGAACCCTGTTCCGATTAAATTGAAGATTTTGTTTTTATATTTAAAAACTGCCCTGTAATAAATATTTGTATGCAACACCCTTGATTTAGTTTTATAATACCGTTACGGGGACGGACCAACTTCTGGCCGATATAATATGGGGCGAGATTGTCACCTCGACGTGAGCGTACGTGTACTTGATGAATATGTCACCAAATTGTGATTACACTGATGGAAACCTGATGAAGATGTTTTCAGATAAGTGCATTACAAATTTAATTTAACATGTGTATATAATGATTATAAAATATAATTTATTGAGGAACTATGAATTTTTTTATGGTTTTTATTTGAGCAAATCAACATCAGAAAGTCTGAAAGCATAAACTGAAAATATATTGGTAGATATGTTAAAATTAAATTGAATTGTGTGAATGGTTCTTTAGTGAAAATAATAAGTCGCTAGTTTTTAAACGCCCCTTTACGGGACGTATTATGATATACCGTTGTCCGTCCGTCTGTCTGTCCGTCCGTTGTCAACATGTCGGACAGTAACTCAATAAACAGCTGCGCCATGAGCGCATGATACGCCCGTCGTCTTGTGTGTGAATTTTTATGCAATAAGCATAAATAGTTTCTGACATACGGCGTGACATACGAAAACCCCCCTTTTTTTTACAAAAAACTCAATATCTCTAAAATAAAATTTTGAATCAAAACCAAAAAGTATACAGATCTTTAGATTAATATAACTAAGAAGTGTGTAATATTTTAAGCAATAATCATAAATCGTTTTTGAGATACGGCGCGACATGTGAAAAACCCCTCCCCCTTTTTTTACAAAATACTCAATAACTCAAAAATAAAATTTTGAATCATCACCAAAAAGTATACAGATCTTAAGGTTAATATAACTAAGAAGTGTGTAAAGTTTTAAGCAATAAACATAAACTGTTTTTGAGATACAGCGCGACATGTGAAAAAACCCTCCCCCTTTTTTAACAAAATACTCAATATCTCTAAAATAAAATTTTGAATCATCACCTAAAAGTATACAGATCTTAAGATTAATATAACTAAGAAGTGTGTAAAGTTTTAAGCAATAATCATAAATTGTTTTTGAGATACGGCGCGACATGTGAAAAAAAACACACTCCTGTTTTAGTTACTAAGTCCGGTAACTCAAAAAGTTTTAATCTTATTTTCACCAAAAAGTATACAGATCGTTTGACCATCATAAGAAACAACTATGTTAAGTTTCATGAAATTTGGATAAGTCATTCTCAAGTTACGGTGCGACATGTTTACGCCGGACAGACAGACGGACAGACAGACGGACAGACGGACAGACAGACGGACGGACGCCGGACATTTGTATACCATAATACGTCCCGTCAAAAATTTGACGGGCGTATAAAAACTCTTTAACCAATTTGCATGAAACTTTGGTGAATTGTATATATATCTATTGACATGAGCTCCCTTTCGATTTTCATAAATTTTAGATTATACGTTTCCGAGTTATGGGGTTTTATTCATTGAAAAAGGGGGGATTTTTCCAGTTTTCGGACAATAACACAAAAACACTTTCACCAATTTGCCAGAAACTTTGATGAATTGTTTATATCTATTGATGTGAGCTCCCTTTCAATTTTTATGAATTTTAGACTTTACGTTACCGAGTTATGAGGTTTTATTCATTACAAAAAGGGGGATTTTCCAGTTTTCAGACAATAACTCAAAAATGTTTTGAGCAGTTTTCATGAAACTTTGCTGAATTGTTTATATCTACTAATGTAAGTTCCCTTTCGATTTTTATAAATTTTAGCTTTTACGCTTCTGAGTTATGAGGTTTCTTTCTTAAAAAAAGGGGTGATTTTCCAGTTTTCGACAATAACTCAAAAGTGCTTTGAGCAGTTTTCATGAAACTTTGGTGACTGGTTTATATCTATTAAAATAACTTCCCTAAAGCTTTAGGTTTTTTTATAAATTCTGATATGACATTGAGAAGTTATTGAACTTTATTCTTTGAAAAAGCGAAGTGCGTATCATGCACTCATGGCCCAGCTGTTTATTTATCTTCAGGGGATAAAAAAAGGGGGAGGGTTTTTAAATTAATTTGATTCCAAATGGTGTCCAATGTACTGTAT